ACAGGAGGGGAGAATAGGGTATGCATTTACTCATAAGTGGATATTAAATGTAAAACAAAGAACAACCAGACTATTATCCACAACCCCAGAAAAGTTAGGTGAAAAGGCAAAATCTCAGAGGGACACAATGGAGGTCGTCAAAAAGGTGAAATAGTTAAGAGGTTTCCTTAAACTTTGCCTGCACTCCCCTGAGCCTCCCTCCCAGTGTTGCACACACTTGATAAGCTCAAACTATGGATGTCCTAGGCATCAAAGAGGTGGTTGAGGTCAAGTTCTCCTTCACGAGGGTTGGTGAATTCTTGCTTACTTAGGACAGGTCCTGAAAGGTTTTTACCTTAATACATCTCCTCCATTTTCCCTGCTTTACTACCACTACTTCCATCAATGAAGACAAGTGCTGATCCTATTCACTTATGCCACATCAAATCCCCAGTCTCCAATGTAAAATTTTCATTTTTCTCAACAAGAAGAGATTCTGAAAATGTGATCAACAACAGAACGATAGGGCTTGTAGATTGACATGAGGTTTGTTAGACTGTACATTCCCTGGACTTACTACCATCAACTGAAAGAGAACATTGATGGATAGGGGTTCAGAAACTTCACTTTAGTACATTTTCTGGATGATTCTTATTTACTCAAAGTTCTGAGAACTAATGATACACTAGCTAAAACCTACTCTTTATACCATTATTCAAACCATCTGTCAACTGACTTCAATTTAATTTTGCCTGGAACAGTTAATTCTAGCCTAACATGTGTCATTACTCTCTAGTAAAATGCTTTCCTATGCAAATCTTCATTTATGTTTCAACTCAGACTTTAACCTTTCATTATCTACAAAGGTCTATTCAATAAATCCAGGAACTTCAGGCCCATATTTCTAGTGTCCTTTAACATCTGTGTCCTTAAAATATAGTGTATGCTAGACAAAATTAGAACTACCGTTTATTTCTGGTGAACATTGATGAATATCTGTACAACATTGCTACCTAGAATGCGTTTAAAGCTATCATTGAAAAAAGCCATTTAACATTTTTCTTTGAAATATTCAATTTCTTACTAAGTGAATATCTGCTGCTTGCTCAGCAATACAGGATTATAATAGTAACCACCCTACAATGAGAAGAAAAGCAAAAATACAAAGATCCTTCTAACTATGAAACTCTGAGTGAAGGACTGCCTGTCTCTAAAAATCTGTGTGATAGAGGGAGACACATGACACACTTCCTATAGATAATTCTAGGCAACACAGTGCAGTAAATAAATTGACCAGTACTCATCACTAATTTCAGTGTAAAGGTCCTGCTTTAAAATCTTAAGAGATGACAGTTTCCAGAGCTTTAATTTCTTTCAAAAATTTTGGCATATATGCACTATACATAGCAATTAGTTTCATAAAGACAATTTCCTTCCATTATATCATGTGATCTGACAATGTTTGTTCCCAAACCCTCCCCTAACCCTCTACTCTTTCCTTCCTGCAAATATACTCCCCAAATCTCTCTTATAATTTCATGCCATAAAATATCTAGTACATGACTTTGAATCACAAATGAGAGAAAATGTGGTAATTGTCCTTTCTGAGTGGGGCTTGATTTGCTTCATCTGCCATACCCTTTCAATCTGCTTAAAGGCTCTTTCTGGTTATATTACAACTCTATCTGCTTATTCCATAGTTTCCAACTCATTAATTTGATAACAGACTAATAGATAATAACAATAAACATGGGGCACTGAAGTGAAGATAAAAGTTTGTGGATGAACAAAGCTCTCTTAATGATTATCTCTCTTGGTAAGACTTGACTATATTTCTACTGCTGATGTGTCCAGCAAACTGAGAAGCTTACACTCACAATTCAATCTGTTCCCAATCTATACCATGTCTATTACAATAAACTTCTTGAAAACACATGAAAAGCTTTTATGTCATTTTAACCTTAAAGTAACCCAATCAAAAAAGTATTACACCCAATTGACTGAAGTAAACCTTAGGTCCAAGGATAGCAGCTAACTTAATGTAGAAATCAAGACAAGTATGACTCGAATTCAATGGCTTGCGGTCAAATCCCTACTCCAATAAATGCCATTTTTATAACTTTGAGGGGGCAAATAAAGTTTCTGATTTTTTTTTGCTTTAATGTGGCAGTGCAATAGCACTCTGTCACAAGATTACTCTTCTGAGTACTTAAAATGTGTAAATGTTGTTGACTGATTATCATCGGGATTAATGACAATGGTGAATTACAATCACAGGACCTATGCCCAGCAGTCAAAGGCCAACACAAAACAAACATTTTTTTTTTGTTGGTTCTTTGTCTCATGCTACCTTATCAATGTTTAAAAAATTTTTTTCTTATAGTTTTTTTTGTGGATATGTTACGGTTTCTGATATTATGTTTTCATGGGATTCTTGTGTGTAGGAACATATGTCTGAGTCTATATGTGCTTCTTGCATTTTTTCCTTGGCTCTTTTTCTCCTGTTTTGGTTTGTCATGTACCATTTTGTTTGTTTTTGTTTTATCATATCTTTTTATCAATTTTTTTTTTATTTTTAGGTACATGTTTGATTTTTAACGAGAGAGAAAGAAAGGGTATGAATTCAGATGGGAGGAGAAATGTGGAGAATCAGATAGGAGGTGTGGGAAGGAAAACCATAATCAGAATATATATTGTATGAAAAAATCTATTTTCAATAAAATAGAAAATCAAAAGAACTATGGCTGTACCCATTCACTTGTGTGATGTACTAAATGAACCAATGTGTGGGAGGTGCTCAGATTTGAAAAATAACGCCTGGGGTCAAGTTAGTGCTAACTGCATGTTAGTCTCATTTCATTGTTTTAATTCATTAGTGTGTTCTGATAGTCACAGAGATTCTGTTATTTTGCAGTATTGTCACTTGTCTGGTGGGATTTTCTTGAGTGATTGTTGGAAACACACATTGCTTTGTAGTTTCACGGCTATCACAATATTTATTTGGAAATGTATAGTGAAATCAGTCATGCGTCATCTTGATGCACTGTCTTGATGAGGACTGCAACAGCATAATGGGGCTTTATTCCAAGTGTCAGGAATGGTTACAGGTTGCAATATGCGTTCTGCATCACTTCCCTCTACTTCTTCCGCTGAGTTCTTCAAAGTTTTAAAGCACTTGGACTCCAAAGAAAACAATCAAAACCACACATGTATCCAAATAACTCACATTATTAATCTATGTGCTAAATGTACAACGTGGTGATGGCTTTTACTTACTTGTGACCCATTTCATGAGCAATTGTAAATGCAAGGTTCAGGCCATTGTCTTCAGCAATGATACACTTTCTCTTTTCACTACACATTCCATTCAAGTAAGCTATACCTAAAAGACATCAACATTATTAATCATATGCCAAATTTAAACTGAAAAAAAAATCAACATGTCACATGGGCCATTACAGAGAAAATCTAGTCACTTTACTCACTTCTACATTTCATATCCGATATACCTAGAATAGCGTATTTTCCACAAATATTAGGATTGTTATTTGTTTATACTCCTTATTTTTCTGTCAGTGTATGGCATATATGTGTGCATGCATGTGCATGTGCACCTGAGTACAAATGCTAGAGGTCTCATGTCAGATTTTTTTTCAGTTGCTTTCCATCTTAATTTCTGAGTTAAGATCTCTCACCAAGCCTGAGGTCACTGGTTCAGCTAGGCTGTATGGATAATAAGCTCCATGGATCTACCTATTTCTGTATCCCTAGCATGGATGTTATAGACACACACTGCCTCTTCCAGCTTTTTACATGGGGGCATGGAATCTGAACTCAGATCCTCATGCATTCACAGACAGACACTTCCTCCGACAACCTCCTTGATATTTTGTAATCTTCTAGCCTTAACAAACTGCCCAAAATTCCAAATGTTATATTGAGACTTGTGTTCACACTGAGCTCCTTATTTTCCATCCTAGTTTTAAATAGAATAACTCTAAGTTCCCAGTTGTGTGATAATTGCTGGAGGGTTTCCCCCCCAAGGTAGATGTAGCTTAT